ATTGGAATTTCCACTTTTTTGCTTTTTTTTTTTTGTAAATATCTATAATCGTCTTATAATAGCAGGAAAGAATGAAGCGAGGTTGGGGTGATTTACCTTCGGAACTATTGCTGCTTATTATGTCATATATGGAGGCTAAAGATCTCGCTCGTTTAGCCGATGTTAACTACCATTGGAGGCGTGTAAGCGAAGATGACACACTATGGAAACCACTGCTGATACGAGACTATGAACTTCCGAAATCGACAAAAATTAAGGTGTGGTTCGCTTCTCCTTTTTTTCTTGCTCTGCTTTTTAGTAGTATGTAGAGACTGATTTGTTTTGCCGGTACCGATTTGGTTTTCTATATGATAGACTTGCTGAGCTAGGGTAGATTTCTTGTTTTTATGCTACACTTTATATTTTACTGTCTGCTAAGCGGAAAGTTTCAATTTGGAAGATAAAAAGAGAAGTATCTGCTTTGTTCTACTCTTAATTTTGCACTTTTTTTTAAAAAATTGCTTACACTAGTTGAATGTTATTTGAAGAACAATCGTTCTTGGATAGACGAATATAAAACGTTAAAGTTTGAATCGCCAGTGATGCTTTGTGAAGACCTTCGCGACTGCGCTCTCGGTGTTGTAGATGTCTCTTTCTCACCAGATGGTCGCTTCTTTTGTACTACTGCTATGGATGCCTCTTTTAAGGTAAGCATCTGCGTAATTTCGTGATCTGCTTACAGCGATTTCTGATCTCAAATGAACAATTCTTTTTATTGTTAGGTATTTAATTACTGTTGTATTTTTTTTTTAATGGGCGTCATTAGTGTCAAAATTATCATAAATTTCGTGACTTACTACCTCTGGTAAACAGATATGGACTGCAACTACTCCAACATATCTTTTACATGAACGTTGCCTCAGTGAAAGTCTTGACTGGAAACAAGCCTTATATTCGCAGTTTAGTCCAGATAGCAAAAGGCTGTTAGTGTGCGGTTTGAAGAATAGTGAACGAGGTGAAGTCGCGGTATTCTCCGTGAATGGTAAGCTATAATTTTTTATTTTGCGTCTCTTGAACTTATCATTGCACAAATTGATTTCTACAAATCTTTAAAAATGAAGTTTGAGGAAAGAATTTGATTTTTTAGTAATACATCATTTGATGGCAGTTCTTTCATAGAACCACATTAGCATATACTTTGGTTTTTCCTTTTACAATATTTTCATCGTTATGGAATTTAAATGGCATATTTGAAGATGAGGAATGCGAAGTCCATTCTGTCTGTCGAGCGCCTAATAATCCAAGTGATTTTACATGCTGCTGGTACGACAACACCCATATTCTAACTGGAGACGTCTTTTATTTCAATCGCAAGTACGTTTCTTTCACAGTTTAGCAACCTTTTTGAGTGCTTCGTTCTTAAAATTAGGTTCTACAATGCTAGGTGTTAATGTTGGCAAGAGTAATGGAACTTTTCTGACAAATGATAACAGTAAAATAAACTTTAGTTCAGTTATTGGTTCATCTACGACCCAGATCTTTCTTTGCTCTGCAGTGTCTCCTTGGGACCATGTTAACGAAGCCTTTTTATGTCCTATTTTAAGGTTTGTGGAAAATGTGACACTATATAGTACTTCTACAGATAAATGACGGTTTCAAAAAGGTGTGATTAGTTCAGGCTTTTGAATCGGCATGGCGGTCTTTGTCGACTAACTGCCTTAGGACGGTACATTCCTCCACGACTTCGTGGAGTTGTACTACTTGCAGAAGAGGCACGAGCTGAAAACAAAGTATGTCATAGCTTATTGTACACGCAGCAAAATATCCACAGAGTTGCTTTAGAGAACGATATCTGAAATGGGTAGGATTACATGAGTCTGCTAATCATCTGTTATAAATGTATTTGTTATCTCTTGGCAATTTTAATTTTGAAGACACACCTTCACGAATAGTAGAAACCCTACTTTTTGGGTAGGGCAACCTTTATTTCTGGGCAGTTATTCATTTTCAAACAATTCTTTCTTGAACTGTTTTGATGCACATGAACTAAGAACATCCTCCCTCTATTCTAATATTTTCAATGCGGTTCTTATAGTCAAAATCTGTGGAACCTTTGCTCCTCCTTGTTGCCAAATATTTCTTTGCTCTTTATTTGTTCTCTACTTCCTTATTTTTTTTCTCTCAACTTTAGACTGGAAGTTTTCTCAAGGCTTCTTGAATTTTAGTGACATTTCTTTTCTGTTATGCAGTAAAAGGTTTTCTTAAGTGGTGTTTCGAGAATGTTTTTTAAAAAGAGAAAAAATTATATTCGGCGGACGTTATTCAAAAAATAGCTCGAGAATAAGCGACTAATTACTGTTTAAATAAAGGCGTCAATGTCTGAACTTACAGTGCATGAAGCTTTACAAAATCGTCAGTCCTGCAACTTCTTTTACGTTACAGACACTTACAGTGAAAGCAGGAGAACTTGCACAAAATGTAAGAGAAGGAGCTACTAAAGAAGAAGTACGTAATGAACTGAGGAGAAGATTGGAAGAGCTGTCGGCCACTTCTGAATGTAGTTGTATTGCTTGCATGGACAGCCATGAGAAATCAGCTACTGAAAGAGAGATACCTTTATGCTACTGTGGTTGCCATCGAGATGATGACCGGCTACTGATTCATGCTTATGGTGAAACAGACTCAACTCCTCCACGTGCTATTGCTTTTAAAATAGTCAGTGGGGAAATGGTAAATGTTTTTTTTGTTTCTTTCGTTTGTTGGTCACTCAATAATTTTTGCATTCCTGCTAAAGATTTAAGAAATTAGAAGTAGTCGACAGAAATCAATAATTTTCAACAGGATTTATAAGATTAAATTACGGTTGATAGGCCAGTGTTATCAATTTAATTGATATGTGACTATTTTTTATATAGCCTTGAATTATTTCAACAGGTATAAAAAATTTTCATCCTAATCTTTTTTATTCTGCTGATTTTTCAGGTAGCTCGAGCTGCTAGGCACAGATGTAGTATTGATCAGGAAGACAGGGCAGAGAGGTACAAAAATTTGATTTGTAACAAAATTATAGCAAAACTACTATTTCCAAACTCATTTTGCTACAAGAATCGATTTTACAATACAATATTTAAGTGAATAATTGAAGAGTAACTGAAGTTTTTCAGATGCAGAAAACTTCTATGTAAATTTAAAAATAATTTGTTAAAGGTTACTCTTATCATCTGGACGCACTTCTTCACAAGCAGTTTATCTGTTTCTGATGTTTACAGCAGGGTTGGGTTTTAATCTTTTAGAACTAGAGAATCAAGACAAGATGCTGATGATATTGAGGATCAGCTGTCATCTATACTGGCATTATTTGATCTTCCGGACTATGTTATTGATATGCAAGCCTATGTAATGGGTCTTACGTTAAGCCTTAATCACAAGTACATTTCATTTCTTTATAATACAGTTCTCTGGTGTCTAAGGCTTCTTAATATCATCAGAATTAGATTTAAGTCCTTATAATTTTTTACGGACTTTATTTTCAGGTTTCTTTTTGTGAACATGGTTCACGGTCGTTATGACCCAGAAAGAACTTTCAGCTGTGTTGTCAGTTTGTTAAAAAGTTCTTAACTTTTTTTTTCTCAAATTTTTGCATAACACTTTAACAAACTGTTGGTCATCGTCAAAATACGAGGAGAAACTGGTTTTTGTTAAGCTGCTTGAAGTCTTTGGGAACCATTGTTGAAGAAATAGTCTCTGTGTTATATACTATTAAAATGCAGAAATTAGCTGGTGGTTAAGTTGGCAAATTAAGAAAAACACCATGTTTATTAGAAAGATGATAGAAACTACCTACAAGTTCTCTAATTAAATCATTTTGTTTGTATTGGTACTCATAGTCCTTTTGGCACTTAAAAACGCCATCCTTATCAATGAATTAAGTAAAAAAGCGATATTCTTGTCGCAGCTATTACTTCACTTGACTGCAGTTTTCTTGAAGTTTTCGCTCACATATTAGTCATTAAAGTAAAAATAGTGTAACTTTTTAGCCGCCTACTATAACGTTCCAAATAATACCATATTAGATGTGGGACAAGTTTCTGAATCAACTTTCTGTTAACACTACTCATTGATATGATGCACTTCGTGAAGTGCAAATCTTGTATAATTAAATGTAGGCATTAGTTTCCAACAAAATAATATAGTTATGATTGAAAGTATATATTTGACGAAAGTTATTTTAAGTTATGGATACGAAATCTGCACTAGAATTCAATATAATTTGTGACCATACCAAAAAAATCGGAGAAATTCTTTTAGGGTGAAGTTCGTCAGATAAACCTTGAATCTCTGTCATTTGACGGTTCTTATTTTGGGCATTTTGCTCGTTTTACTGACCGCTTCCAGTGTTCACTTGGCGGACATTATTTAGCCAGGTAATTCATCTATTTTTGTTTAGTCCACGTCTGCTTGTAATATCTTCTCAGATTTAGTTTAACAAATACTTTCTTCATAATCAATACAAAGAAATCTAATTTCAGCCCTTCACTGGGAGGAGCTCGTGTTTGGTCCAGAGATTATAACTGTTTAATAGCGAAACTTGATCATACCCACGGGGCTAGTGCAGTAGCAGTCGAGCCAATTAATGGCGAAATGGTTGTAACAGCAGATCGTACGGACGGGAAAATCAGAATATGGAGAAGTAAAAAGTTTCTTAAAAAACTTGCTGCAAGAAAAGTTTGGGGCTGATACATTTGAAAGACTTTTAAATTCAAACATAATATCAGTATTGTTTGTGGTCGAATTGCTCACACATCTACTTCTTTGGCCCTCGTCTTTCTTGGTCGTAGATGTTAAGTTTCTCTCCGCAACTTCATAATTCCATGGTTGCGCCAAGAAGATCATTCAAAAGAAATCAATAGTTTTTTGTATACTTTAGAGATGGTTTGCAAACCACAGTTACGAATGTTGTAATATACTGTTGCACTAAGAAATATCCAGATATGGATCCTCCCCCAACAAGAATTTTCGGTGATCTCAGCATAATTAAGTGGAGTTTTAAAACGTAACTGTAAAAAATAAGTATAAAATATTTATCCTATTGGAAACGGCCTTCCAAAAAGCTTTTTACTGGAAATCTCAAACAGCACTGTAAAGTTGGTTCGATTCATAACCTAAGACGCAACTGTTTCTTCATATTTGTTCCTTTGAGCTGATCTTATGTCTTTATTGAATTAAATTTTATTTATTTGGAAATGATTTCTTATTGTCAGAAACTGCTTGTTACGACAGCTTGTACATAATCATGCCGTGTTGAATTAAGGATGAAACTGTTTTTTCAAGTATGAATTTTCACAGCTGACAACTTGCAATTTTTTCTAGGACAGTACTCAACGACAGAGACTTCTGCAGCAGACCACAAGAGTACCTGTCGTTGTGTGCCGTCCCGGAGAATTGGCAGGCATTTCTTGGTTCATGTTAAAGAGCTTTCTAATCACTGTTGAATGTATTTCTATATCCCAAACTGGATGAAACGCCAAGACCATTCTGTATTTTTACATTGCTATCTACGTGTTTCATAAAAAGTTATCATGCCAAAATTTATTTTCATGCAGTATCTATTAGTAATCTTGAATTGAAGATATTTAACAAAATTAGCCAGGTGATATGAGAGTGGAGAAGCACAAATATAATCAAGTTTTACAGGCAATTTTAATACGAAATTTTGGTTTTTATTTCAAAGTTTGCAGTTTCTTTCCGATTTAACGCTGTACGATAAGTAATAAACGAAAGCTTCCTCAAGGGACTTCTCAGTACCAATTTAGAACAAATCGTTTTTTAACTTAAATATATAGCAGAAATTTTGACAAATTTAAACAGCGACAAACTTTAAGGCAAGAAGTTACTGTTTAAGCAGCGAACAGCGGCTTTGCTTTGAAAATATGACATGCTTCAATCGCAAACTCGTCACTTTCGAATCTATTCCTTACGCCTAGAGTATGCAGAAGAATCTGAAGAGAGGAACTTTTCTGGAGCCACCCGTCTCCAATATATGGCTGTCATCCTAAAAGCGGATTTTAATAGTGAAACAGAAACATCGAAGCAGAAAGAAAAAAAAAAGTAGGCAAAGATAAGTTAGATCAGAGAAGCCACTATTTTGCTACTATCCCCTTTACTCTAAAATAACCCTGAAACTTTGAGTGTTTTCCTAATAAACAGCCCTCTGCCACGATTCATACACAGAAGAATGTACAAATTTTGCTGCATACTTCTGAAGTTTTTCATAAAAATGACCACTTGAATTTTTATAAATCGTTCTAACAAGTTCGATCTTCTTTATTTAGCTTTATAACCTAAAGCAAAAGGAAAAAAAAATGTGGAAGCGGTTAAAGTCAAATAACATTGAAGAGATACGAGTTAAAAAACTGTCAGTTTAACCAGCTGCATATTATCTGATTGCTCAACAGAGACTGAGACTGCGCAAAGCAAGTTTCTTGAGACAGTAGATTCAAAGACAAAATCCTTTTTAATTAGAATCGCAAACTTTTCAACATTTTAAATAAAACTGCCTTTATCTCCTTGGTAATTAAAACACAACTCGGGTTTTTTAAAGTGTCGAGACAAAGTTTTTCTTCCCGGCTCCATCCAATGCAGCCCAGTACGCTTAAGATTTAGCACTGGAACACTAAGTTGATCAACTTAGTCTTTAGTAAAGTCTTTCAGTTAAGATAATCCATAGTATTTCTGCTCTCCTGGCTAAAAATAATCTTGCGTAAGAAGATAACGGTGACGAAAAGGTGGTCAAGCGGAGAAGCTAAAACTTTTGTCACTGTCAGCTGTGTTTCTTCCGTCTCCTCTAGCGGCATTTTCATCGGCCAAAAATCTCCTATTCCTGAAAAGTACTCCACAAAACTGTAAGTTTTGCATCAGGAATTGGCTCTGCTTTACGGGTAAAAGACTTGACTGAATTTAGCTCTAGAAGCGACTGCAAATGCTCTTAGAAGTTAAATTTAACAAAGCTCAATATTTCCTGAAGTTTCCGTGAAAAAAAGAGCAAATTTTTTGCCAAAACCAAAGCGGATCTTGCAGTTTCATGCATAAAGACGCAGATGAAACTGTACGCAATCCACAGTTGCTTAGCTAAAAAATGCTACTCATTTTCAAGATAGCTAAGTGGGACAGTTAAACTGTTTTAATTTAATTTATGCGAGCATCTCCAGCTGCTCCTGGAAGCTAAATCCCGAAACGTAATACCATTTTGCTCCCGAACAGTACCTGCAAGTTTGTAAGGTCTTTTAAAGATACCATTCACTTGAGTTCAGGCTAGAAAATTCCTTACGGGTTGTTACTTCCGCTTCAGACTCATAACTTTTATCGTTGGCAGAATTCCATCAGAAAGGGTTCCTCTCGTAAAGTATCGAAGGATTAGACGGTTGATTCGGCCTCTCATTCTTCCCTTATTTTCCGCTCTGCGGGGAACTTCAATTTTTCAGTTCTCTCTTTTAAGTTCCTTTTTAAATGTCATTATATAGTACATCGAACGTAACTTTTGAATCGAGTTTGGGTATTGAAATTCGCAACCGTTTGTTGGGGCAAAAAGGCGTGATTCTAAAGATGATAAGATTTTGGATGCTCCTCATTGCGGCTGTTGAAAGGACGCCGTGAACCTCAGAAATTGGTTGCACACTAGAACTGTGACTTTTTTTACTCTTACTTGTAAATTAAGAACAGTGATATGCAAGG